AGCCCAAAATAACCCAAAATCTGCGAGTACGTGGACATCAACGTCACCGACCAGGTACCAAAACTGCCCAAAATCTGCCCAAAAAATGACCAAAAACTGCCCAAAATGTGCCCAAAATCTGCCCAAAATCAGCACCAAAATCTGCCCAAAACAGCCCCAAAAATCCCAGAATTTCCCCCCAAATTTCCTCAAAATCCCAGATTTCCCCCCCCAAAAAAACCAAAAAAATCCAAATATTTTTGGAGCCCCAAATTTCCTCTAAACCCACCCAAATCCCCTCCCAAAACACCCCAAAATCCCAGAATTTCCCCCCAAAAGCCCCAAAATCCCAAATTTTTCCCCCAAACCCGGCCCTGCTGGGGTCCTTGGGGGTCTCAGCCCCCCAAATTTGGGGAGGGGGTCCCAAATCTTTTTGGAGCCCCCAAAGTACCCCAAATCCCCCTGAAAATACCCCAAAATCCCAGAATTTCCCCCCAAAATCCCAGAATTTCCCCCCAAAAACCCCCAAAATCCCGGAATTTTTCCCCAAACCCGGCCCTGCTGGGGTCTTCGGGGGTCTCAGCCCCCCAAATTTGGGGAGGGGGTCCCAAATCTTTTTGGAGCCCCCGAAATACCCCAAATCCCCTCAAAAACACCCCAAAATCCCAGAATTTCCCTCCAAAAAGCCCCAAAATCCCGGAATTTCTCCCCAAACCCGGCCCTGCTGGGGTCCTCGGGGGTCTCAGCCCCCCAAATTTAGGGAGGGGGTCCCAAATCTTTTTGGAGCCCCAAATTCCCTCTAAACTCACCCAAATCCCCTCCCAAAACACCCCAAAATCCCAGAATTTCCCCCCAAAATCCCAGAATTTCCCCCCAAAAAGCCCCAAAATCCTGGAATTTCTCCCCAACCCCGGCCCTGCTGGGGTCCTCGGGGGTCTCAGCCCCCCAAATTTGGGGAGGGGGTCCCAAATCTTTTTGGAGCCCCCAAAATACCACAAATCCCCTCAAAAACACCCCAAAATCCCAGAATTTCCCCCCAAAATCCTGGAATTTCTCCCCAACCCCGGCCCTGCTGGGGTCCTCGGGGGTCTCAGCCCCCCAAATTTGGGGAGGGGTCCCGCTGACCCCCTGACCCCCCCAGGCCATCGCGGGGCTCAACGGGATGCAGCTCGGGGACAAGAAGCTGCTGGTGCAGCGGGCGAGCGTCGGGGCCAAGAACGCCACCCTGGTGAGTGCCCAAATTCCCAAATTCCTAAATTCCCAAATTCCCAAATCCCCAAAATCCCAAAATCCCAAATCCCCAAAATCCCCAAAATCCCAAATTCCTAAATTCCCAAAATCCCAAATTACCAAATCCCCAAAATCCCAAATTCCCAAAATCCCAAATTACCAAAATCCCAAATTCCCAAAATCCCCAAATTCCCAAATCCCTAAATTCCCAAAAATCCCCAATTCCCAAAATCCCCAAAATCCCAAATCCCCAAATTCACCGTTTTTCCCCGTTTCCCCCCATTTTTTCACCGTTTTTCCCCGTTTTTTCACCGTTTTCCCCCATTTTTTCACCGTTTTTCCCCATTTCCCCCGTTCCCCCCATTTTCCCCCATTTCCCCCCTTTTTTCCCCCGTTTTCTCCCGTTTTCCCCCATTTTCTCACCGTTTTCCCCCCGTTTCCTCCATTTCCCCGCATTTTTCAACGTTTTTCCCCGTTTTTCCCTGTTTTCCCCCATTTCCCCCCATTTTTTCCCCGTTTTTTCCCCGTTTTCCCCCATTTTTCCCCATTTCCCCCATTTCCCCATTTCTCCCCCGTTTCTCCCCATTTTCTCACCATTTTTCCTCCATTTTCCCTCCGTTTCTCCCCATTTTTCCCCATTCCCCCCCATTTCCCCCTGTTTTTCCCCCCATTTTTCCCCATTTTCTCACCGTTTTCCCCATTTTCTCACCGTTTTCCCCATTTTCTCACTGTTTTCCCCATTTTCTCACCGTTTTCCCCGTTTTTTTTCCCCATTTCCCCCCATTTCCCCCCATTTTCCCCCATTTCCCTCCATTTTTCCCCATTTCCCCCATTTCCCCATTTCTCCCCCGTTTCTCATCATTTTCTCACCATTTTTCCCCCATTTTCCCTCCATTTTTCCCCATTTCCCCCATTTCCCCCCATTTTTCCCCATTTCCCCCCATTTTTCCCCATTTCCCTTTTTTCCCCATTTCCCCCATTTTTCCCCATTTCCCATTTTTCTCCATTTCCCATTTTTCCCCATTTCCCCCATTTTTCCCCATTTCCCCCCATTTTTCCCCATTTTCTCACTGTTTTCCCCATTTTCTCACCGTTTTCCCCGTTTTTTTTCCCCATTTCCCCCCATTTCCCCCCATTTCCCCCCATTTTTCCCATTTTTTCCCCATTTTCCCCCATTTTCCCCCATTTCCCCGCTCAGAGCACCATCAACCAGACGCCGGTGACGCTGCAGGTGCCGGGGCTGATGAGCTCGCAGGTGCAGATGGGCGGGCACCCCACCGAGGTGCTGTGCCTGCTCAACATGGTGCTGCCCGAGGAGCTGCTGGACGACGACGAGTACGAGGAGATCGTCGAGGACGTGCGCGACGAGTGCGGCAAGTACGGCACCGTCAAATCCATCGAGATCCCGCGGCCCGTCGACGGCGTCGAGGTGCCGGGCTGTGGGAAGGTGAGAAACGGGGTTACCTGTGTGCCAGGTGTGCCGGGAATGGGCTAGGAAAGGGTTAATTCAGGTACGGCACCGTCAAATCCATCGAGATCCCGCGGCCCGTCGACGGTGTCGAGGTGCCGGGCTGTGGGAAGGTGAGAAACCAGTGAAAAATGGGGTCACCTGTGTGCCAGGTGTGCCCAGGTGTGATAGCAGTGGGGATAGGAAAGGGTTAAATCCATGGGGATCACAAAGGGTTAAATCCATGGAGATCCTTGGGGTGTGGAAAGGTGAGAAATGGGAGATTTGGGGTTACCTGTGTGCCCAGGTGTGCCCAGGTGTGCCCAGGTGTGCCCAGGTGTGCTGGGAATGGGGATAGGAAAGGGTTAAATCCATGGAGATCCCACAAAGAGTTAAATCCATGGGGATCACAAAGGGTTAAATCCATGGAGATCCCGGTATCGAGGTCCCGGGGTGTGGAAAGGTGAGAAATGAGAGATTTGGGGTTACCTGTGTGCCCAGGTGTGCCCAGGTGTGCTGGGAATGGGGCTAGGAAAGGGTTAAATCCATGGGGATCCCACAAAGGGTTAAATCCATGGATCACAAAGGGTTAATCCATGGAGATCACAAAGGGTTAATCCATGGATCCACAAAGGGTTAATCCATGGATCACAAAGGGTTAATCCATGGATCACAAAGGGTTAAATCCATGGATCACAAAGGGTTAAATCCATGGATCACAAAGGGTTAAATCCATGGAGATCACAAAGGGTTAAATCCATGGATCACAAAGGGTTAAATCCATGGAGATCACAAAGGGTTAATCCATGGATCACAAAGGGTTAATCCATGGATCACAAAGGGTTAATCCATGGATCACAAAGGGTTAAATCCATGGGGATCACAAAGGGTTAATCCATGGATCACAAAGGGTTAAATCCATGGGGATCACAAAGGGTTAATCCATGGATCACAAAGGGTTAATCCATGGATCACAAAGGGTTAAATCCATGAATCACAAAGGGTTAAATCCATGGATCACAAAGGGTTAATCCATGGATCACAAAGGGTTAATCCATGGATCACAAAGGGTTAATCCATGGACATCCCACAAAAAAATCCCATTTTTAGGCCCCAAAATCCCTTTTTTTTTCGCCAAAAAAATCCCCCGAAATCACCAAAATTACCAAAAATTACCAAAAACG